GACTGTGCTTTGAATCCTGCTCTTTCTACCAACTCTTGGCTTTGCCCCATTTCTCAGGATTCCAGGGTGATCAGAGTTCTGAGAATACATTAAGTGCTCAGTAAATGCTTATTCCTGGAACTGCCATTGATGACTGTAGGATGACCCCCAGGTGGCTGGAGGGCCCCTGCCCCAGTAAGGCGTGGGGCTAAAGGGCCTGGCTCTGCCAGTCACTAGCTCCCTCCCAGTCACTAGCTGTGTCACTTTGGGCAAGTTGTTCATTATTCAATCAGTAAGAGGAGAATGGTAATAAGATACTATAATGATGACCATGTCAGGTCAGGAGAGGAGTAAATGAAATAAGCTGTGTGAGGGCTTAGTTCAAGTGCCTAGTACATAGCCATTGATCAATCAAGTGATTTCATGATTACTGCTATTATTAGAATCGTAATAAGATATGATAATGATACCCTTATCAGGTTAGGATGAGGAACAAATGAAATAGCCTATGTAAAGAGCTTAGTACAATTGCCAAGTACATAGCCTGGCATACAGTGCCTACTACACAGCCATTAGCCAATCAATGCTGCAATTGTTATTATTATTCCTTCTCCCCAAGTAAAAGTGATCACTCGAGACCTAGATATTTGGGTTGGAACTTGGCCCTTCCAATCTCCATAGACATGATTTTGGGCAAGTGAGTTTCAATGTCCTAACCTATAAAGTGTTAATAATAGCAACAGACAAAGATCGGACAATTGTGGCTTGATATGTATAATTTATAGCATTGTTTGAATTTGAAACAGAGTGGACAACCTACAATAAATCCTAGGTAGTGATAGTATTTTATAAACAGGGTATGTTTAGATTAGCTGCCAATGCTTACTTTTCCCCTGAGGTGATGATGACTTTATCTAATTTTACTTTTCCACTTATTAACTTATCAGAAGTTCAGTTCATAGCAGGTGGCCAGAGCATCTGAACTCAGTGGTCCTTGGCACGTGATGGTCCAGGTTGTCTGTAGCCATCTGTGGAACCATTGGTAGCTGACACTAGTTCTTCTATTTAGAAAAACTTTTATTCAGTCTTTGACTCAAACTAATGTTGGAAGAAGTGCCTCAAGGCCTTTGAATGGAAAGTACTGCTGATTATTGTCTGGAGAGGAGGAAAGGCTTCTCCTATGAACCTTTAGCCCCTCTAGTTGAGTAGTTCATATTATGGAACTTGGCACTGGAAAGTAAGCCACATAAAACTGAACAATATTTGCAATAGTCCAGCACTCCTTGGGTGACAAGGAAGGGGACTGGAAGAAACAGGGCTAGAGAACTTGACAGCCTCCTAGTACCATCCAGGTTAGCTTCCCGTTGCCTGCACGTCCTTTCAAAACAACATCTGGACCATGTGCCCAAGTGAAATGTGAGCTCAGTGGATTCTTTGCCACTCTGGCCACTCTTGGGGGACTTGGGCATGGTTGGGTTCAGGTTACTGCACCCCAAGACAAAGAACAGGAAGAATTACACTCTTCTTTCATGAAGGTGAGATGGCCGTAGGAAAGGAGGCCTCCTTTTCTCCAGATACGACATTGTTTTCTTTCCTAAGGGGCCTGGGTCTCATCAAGTTTGTGTCACACCCTGTTGTCAGTGGCTCATTGTGGCCTTTGAGTAAAACCCCACAATCTTGAGCAAGGCAGTCACCTTATTCCAGTCACCTGGCCCCATCTAGTTTCTCCTCCATCCCCCAGTGCCCCTCCTCTGCTTACTCTGATCTAACCAGGTATCTTAGCTTGGGCTGCTATCACAGAATACCACAGACCAGGGCTTAGACCAGAGGCATTTACTGTTCACAGTTCTAGAGGCTGAAAGTCCCAGACCAATGTGTCAGCAGGTGCAGTGTCTGGTGAGGACCCTCTCCCTGGCTATTAAACAGTCTGTCTTCTTGTGGCACCCTCCCATGGCCTTTCCTCCAGAATTGTGTGTGCTGATGATTATGTTTCAAACATTGAGTTTGACTCTTTTATCAAGAATTCATTTTACCTGCCTGGCCTGGGAAGTAATGTGAAGTTGCAGTCCCAGCTCTGGTGTTAAGGCACTGGTAGGTTTGCATTCCCTTCCTCTCAAATTCATATGTTGAAGCTCTAGCTCCCAACATAATGGTATTTGGATTTGGGGTCTTTGGGAGGTGATTAGAGTTACACGAGGTTATGAGAACAGCCCAATGATGGTATTAGTGTCTTGATAAGAATAAGACAGAACTCCCTCTCTCCTCCCACCACACACTGACACATGCATGTACATATTGACTGTCTATGTTATCTATAAGGCTTCCAGTCAACAGGAGGCTATTGGGGTTAAGTTTTGGAGGAGTCAAAATTTAAATGTGGATTTTTGACTGCCTGGGGTGTCAGTACTCCTAACTCCCACATTGTTCAGGGTCAACTGTTATCAAAGAGAACCTAAGACAATCTTGTATATGATAAGTGGTCAATAAATAGTCAATGAAGTGAATTAATTTAAAAACACAAATCTAAAGGGCTGGGCATGGTGCTCACACCTGTAATCCTAGCCCTCTGGGAGGCCAAGGTGGGAGGATCCCCTGAGCTCAGGATTTGGAGACCAGCCTGAGCAAAGCAAGACCCTGTCTCTACTAAAAATAATAAATAGCTGGGTTCCGTGGCAGGCACCTGCTATCCCAGCTACTTGGGAGACTGAGACAAAAAGATTGCTCGAGCCTAAGCATTTGAGGTTGCTATGAGCTATGACACCAGGGCACTCAACCTCAGGGTGACTGAATGAGACTCTGTCTCAAAAAAACTCCATAAATCTGAGAAGTTGTGCAACCTGCTATTAGGTACAGACATGATAGATTTTCATATATCTCTTTTCTCAGTTCCCACCACTCCTTCTGGTACAAAATGATTTATTTAGAATTCGTTTTCTCTAGAACCATAGACAAAAATCTTCTAAGAGCACAGTGTGGGGTTTTTAGGCACAATTTACAATAGTCCCTTCTTTATGCCTGCCCTGTGCCTATGAAGCCAAACTGTGTAGGGCTGAGCCACCACTCACGTCTCTGTGCTCGCAGCCCAGTTGCACCTGAGCAATGGGTTCCTATTTGCTCTTCTCCTTACCTGCTCCAGAAGGTGGCACCAGAACGGAACTGTGCTTAGTGTTCATCTGTGCTTTTAGCATGCTGATATATTTTAACAGTAAAGAAGGACTTATAATCAGAAGGCCATTGGGGGGGGAAATATGACTTAAAAAATTGCATTTGTACACTCGTGCATTTTAGAAATATTAGGGGATGGGGGCAAAGTGTATCTCAAAATCATCCAACTGAAAACTGAAAATAGTAGGAAAAGGGAAAAATCATGTGGAGAGAGAGAGAGAATTTCATATGTAATCATTCCTGAGGTGACTTATTTAGGAGGAGGTGCTAAAATAGTATTTTAAATAGAAATAAATAGGAACAGTGACAATGAGAATATCTTAGAAGTAACCAGAGGAAAACAGACATGTTATGTAGAGAGAGGCAAAGATACAGATTCTAGCAGATTTCTCACTGGAAATAATGTGAGCTGGGAGACGATGGGGCAGCACTGTTTTGTGTGCACAAAACCGTGTCCACCCAGACTTCTATGTTCAAAGATATATCATTTTTTAAAAGATGAAATAAATACCTTTTAAGAAAAAAAAAGAAAGAAAGAAATACCAGAAATGTTTTTTACCAGTAGAGTCTGTTTTTTCCCAAAATACTTTCTCAAATCCACCAATATTTGTCCCCTAAAAAACATTTTACATTATTTTAAGAAAAAAGAAAAAACCAAACTTGCTTCCACTCATGTTCATTTCATCACTGCCCACTAGATGAGAGAGTGGGACAAAGGAAGGGGGTGAAAGTTTGAGGAGATATGAAAGGCAAGATGAAATAGAAATCAGGAAATGTGGTTAGGGTGCACCTTACCCCATCCATGGTGCAACCTTCTTGTTACCCAGAATGACCTGTTCTTGAGAATTCAGCACAATACCCCAATTCTGGGAAATCCAGTAGGAGGTGCCGCCCAAGACACTTTGGTTTCCACCTCTACATATTGCAGGTTTATTTTTGGAAGGACTTTCATAGCCAGGAAAGAGTAACGAATGCCTTCTTGCCCTTACTTCACATCTAAAATAGGGAGGTCCATTTAACTACTCATAAAAATGTTTGAACGTTAAAATAGGAGTTTTAAAGCACGTACTCCCTGGTCACTCTAGCTTTAAGTCATAAAAAAGTGCAATTGCAACAATTAAAATAGTGGCTAGCATTGTCCACTTAATTACACTGTCATTGGGTTTCTTTCATGAGAATGAAAATACAATAATACACTGTGAATTCATTTGGGGGGAAAGACTGGTATTTTATAACATACTTTATAATTATGGAAAATACGTGAGTCTACTGGGACTAAAGACATTTTGATGTTTTCATTTACAGAGTAATTTCTATGCTGTATAGTAAAATGTGGGGGTGTTAACAGGGATGCCTGCCTTCAGTTTGTAATCAAAGGCCACCGAATTTGTGGCTGTTAACTGTCTGCCTGGTCAGCCACACATCCCCGGGACAGGCCTCATGCCTTCAGCCCACGACAGGGACAGTCACAGTACCCCCTGTGGTATAGACTATGCGACTTTATTTTATCCACAAGAAAGGGATGGAAGAGCAGGGAAGCAAAAGAGACTAAATGTGTAAGGGGAGGAATTTGGAGAAAGGGAGTCATAGTGGGGTGGCTGTGTGGGCTGGGGAAAGACACTTCTACCATTTCTTAGCATCTATTGGGGATCCCGCTCTGAAACATTTTGTAAGCCCCTTTATCCAGGTAATGTTTAAGGTGTTGATCCCTTCTGAGTGCAGTGGGGTGGGCCTCCTAGAGAACAATTGACTTCATTGAACTATGTTTTTTGTGGGTGTGTTCACTCTTATGTAAGTCAATAAAGTCATGGGTTTATAAGACACATTGTTTCTGGACACTGCTGTCCAGTTCCACCATGGAACAGAAGGAAGTGGTTCTTCTACTTCTTTTAGTTCTGAAATCAGGTAAGACTTAATGGGTTTTTTTACTTTGATAATTTTGTTTCCTAGCAATGTATTAAAAGTCCACATGCTGTGGCCTTATGTGTAATTCATTTAATTTAGCTTTTAATTCATGACATAACCAGTTGAAAACCTCAGACTTAGAAATTACTCAAGAAATACATTTAATTTCCCTATGAATATTGTCAGGGTGCTGGGCTGAATAGGTAGAGAAAACGAGTGACTTTTCAAAGCTCAATGACCCAAAATGGCTAGTTAAAAAAACAAAACAAAACTATCTACACAACTATGGCACCCCTCTTGGTAAGGGGCGTAGCTATAATTTGGGCTCTACCTAACAAATGCAAACCATGTAACCTTAATTGTCTGAACCCCCATATTAATCCGAAAGTAAAAAAAAAAACAAAACTATCAAACATGCCTAAAGATGGTTAATCTCTTTGCCTATTTCTCAGTTTGATTAATTCCTATCATCTCTGTTAAGGTGTCCTAGGGCCCTTACTCCCTCATTGACATAAGGAAATGTTTCTATGGATATGTCCTGTTCCCTGACAGGTTTGTGAAGAGGATCTCAGCATTTCTCTATTGTTAGAGCTTCAGAAAGGCTTTCTGTAGGTGTCATTTGTTCCTCAGGCCTGGAGAAATCACATGCATCAATCTGCCAAATGAGGTGTGCAGAATGGCAAGTCAACAAATTGCCATTGTGCCTGGTCCAACCCACGCATTTTGTGTGGGGACCAGGCACATCCCTGTGTGGGTGTGTTAGTATGTCCTCTACTAATACTGCTAATGTAGCTGGCGGTGTAGTGAGGGCAGGATGCAAATCCTCATCGCACAGATAAAACAACCTGGACTTAGGAAAATCCTATCATTTGCCCATTGACTAAACTCCTAAATCAAGACAGTGAAGAAATTGGGATTTAAGAGAAGGAATTTAGTGTTTTTTCTCACTTTTTCAACTTTGCTTAAGTCTTTGGTAAGACACTCTAGCCAGTAATGCCAGCACTTTGGGAGTGTGTGGCAGGAAGGCTGCTGTGGCCAAGGCTTCAGACCAGCATGGGAAACACTGTGAAAACCTCTTTACACAAATGGAAAAGATTAACTGGGAGTGGTGGCACATACCTGCAGTCTCTGCTATTCAGGAGGCTCAGGTGGGAGGATTGCTAGAGTGTAGAAGGTTGAGGAGGCAGAGAGCTGAGACTGTGTCACTGCATGTAACCCACACAACTGAGCAGATCCCTATTGTCGTGACTCAAGAAATGGGCCCCAGCACAGCGGACTCAGAGTCCCCCGTACAAGGACTTTACCCCACTGCCTTGGCTCTGGCAGACAAAGGGAGAGAAGGCACCACAAAATTTACACACACCGTTTTTTGACCCAAGAGTGACAACACCGTCTCAGCCCTTATTAAGGCTAATAGGCACCGCCTTGATCTGGTTATTTAAGGCCTTTTTTATGAGGGGCTTTGGGGGCATGTATACACAAGGCAAAAAGTGAGAAGGTAACACTTTCATGTTTCAATTAAACAGGCAGTGCTTTGTTCAAGGAAGAAAGTGGTCAGGCTGAAGGACAGAGGAGCACTGAAATACAGATCCAAGGATATTTGTGTTGGATTTAATGAGGGCAAGTTACAGCCCAGAGGAGAGATAGTCACAGCTACAGGATATGTGTAGGGTAGTTATCAGTTGTTTTCTAGTTTTATTTATATCCTGTCTTTAAGCTGTTGATCTCTATGTAGATATTTCCCAGACTATTTACTCATCTGTCGTACTGGACATTCCAACCCCCCTCGCTATGTTAGTCCTGGATCACAGTGCAGGGGCTGAGACCCCGGGCCATAATCCACAGGAGATGTCTGGGAAGCCAGTCTAGCTTTCACACACACCCTGTTCCAGGAAAATAAAGACACAAACAAAAAAACAAACAAAACAACCTATTCTAAACAGGTCTTAGTAGTATTTTTCAAAAAACAAAATGAAACAGTTTTATTGAGATATAATTCACCTGTGCAATTCACCCATTTAAGGCACACTTTTGATATATTCAGAGTTGGACAACTATCACTACAATAAATTATAAAACATTTTCCTTATCCTGAGATAAAACTCTAATCTCCTTAACTGTTTGTCCAATCTGCAGCTCCTGCAGCCACTAATCTACTTTCTGTGTTTAAAGATTTAACCAGTTTGTTGTATTTCAAATTGCATATAAAACCAGCACATTGTACTCCATAAACGCCTCATTGTACACAGCTATGATTTAATAAAAAACAAATAAAAAAATAAAGATTTGCCTATTTTGGATATTTCATATAAATGGAATCCTAAATTATTCTAGTGGTTCTTCATATAAAGGACAGAAACTTGAAATTCAACCTGTAAATTTCCAAATAAATTTGTATAAGTTATACCAGGGAGTCAAACACATTTGAATTTGGTGGAAGCTATTCAAAGAAATATCAGGTAGGATACAGAGCAGGAGAAGATTAAGCAAAGACATTTTTGTGGGAAATCGGTGTATGCATTGAGGCGGGGGGGCATGAATATGCTAGCTCAGCCCATGGAAACTGGATTTGGAACAGTATGAACTCACTCAGTGGGCTACACCCAAGGGTGAGAACAAATTTCTCCATGACAGAATGAACACTCATCTTACCCCAAAGGGGGGTGTGGCAGGGATTCTCATATCAGCAATTTTTGAAAGAAACGTTATTTACCCTGGTTTTGCACGGAAGTGACTTTCATCTTTTACTGTGCTGCAGTGACTGGGGAGTGGAGAGAGTTTCCGCTATAGCCGTACTCAGTGCAAAGAGGACAGACAGCTTGCATTTCACAGATATGAACTCTTGTCTCTTACACACTAGGCCACCTACACGTACACATTACAATCATTAAAAATCCTACATTATTAATAAAATACTTTTGCCTTGGTAAGAATATCAACTATATTTTTCTATAATGAAAAATACGTTTTTCCACTAGAAGATTTCTCTAATATTTCTTTCCACCAAATAATATTAAACACATTAAGCCCAACTGATGGATAAAGGAGTCCTAGAGGTGAATAAGAAAAAAAACAATTAGGGACAAAATATTACATTAGAAATAAAAAAGCAATGATAATCTTTTGGGTTATTTCTTTGGGACATCAGGTCCGAAGGTGGACCTCAGCCACTGTACCCTATGAGACATGATAACGTGGCACAATTAAATATTCCTTCTGTACAACACTTCACAATTGAAATTTCTTTTGGCACAAGTCAGTAGCTGATGTGTTTCACCTTCAATGTGTGAGAAAAAAAATACTTATTATGGGTTCAATCTTAAAAGATAATTTTGCCACATACAGACATAAAGGTGAGGATTTATTTGACCACCGTAAAGATGATACTACATTACCTTCTGTTTCTGACTTAGAGTCTTATCTTTGTCCTGAGGACTCCATATTTTCTTACAGAGGCTGCCATGAGTCTTGTTCTCATCCTAGGTTTTTAGCACTCGGACTGTGCATCTCCTCGAGGTGTTGTGTCTTTCCTTCCTCTTCTCAGTGTGCGTGGCTTTTCAAGCGTGTTGAACAGGTGGAGCCTTGATGATCAGTGTTCTGTCAGAAGACTGAGGCAGCATCTGTTGAAATATTTCTTTTCAACTTCTCTCTTTTGCATGCTAAGTGCCCAGTTGTTAGGCTGCGGCATGTTATTTCCTAACTCTCGATGGATTGTTCTTCTGTTTGTTTTCTCTGTCACTGTTTTTTCACTTGTTTCTTTGCATGTGTGCCAGTTAGGAGTATTTCTCTTCGCTCATCTTCAGGTTCAAAGATGATTTCCTCAGTGGTGTGTAGTCCCCTGAAGAGCACATTGAGAGAATTCTCACCTCTGACCTCATGAGTTTGGTTTCTACCATTGCATTTTATGGTTTCTACCATTTCATTTTACGCTTTCAGGGAGTTTCCATGTCTTTGCTGAACCTCTCCATTGTTTCACGCATGCTGTGTACTTTCCCAGATGATTTCATAACCCTTCACTCACGATAACCTTATAAACCCAATTTGGACTTCCTAGATCTAGTCATCTCCGAGACAGGTGTCTTGATTAGCCGATAGGGAATATCATTTTGGCTGTTTTGGGGTGTGCTGTAATGTTTTAATCCAATGCTCTACATGGGACCAGCATGTTAGGCTAGACTGCAGTAGGTATTCTTCCTTGTTGGATGTGGGCCCGCCTCTGCTTTTGCCCATAGGTAATGTGGTTCACTGAGTCCATGTACCCAACAGCTGAAATGAGTGGGATTCCTTGGACAGGATGTGCAGCACAAGCTTTCTGTTCCCAGGATAGGCTGCTGGGACCTGGTACTGAGAGGGGCCTCAGGGGTATTGAAGACCTTTCTCTGTGTTGCTAAACCACACTCATATCGGAGCCTTCACTGAGGACCTGCACCCCAGAGGGGATGTTCCTCCATTTCAAGGGCCCCCATGAGTAGACTGCTGTTGGTTGTCCTGCATTGCTCAGTGTTTGGTGAACTGGGCAAGTGCTCTGTCTCCCTGGTCCACCTAGAGTCCAAGACACACTGTGCCAAGCTGGGCTGTGGAAGGCCTGATTTCTTGGTGGTCCCCATCTAGGTCACTGACTCTGGGCTCTGTCTTGAGTGGAAGAGAAGTCAACTTGAGCTTGGTGCCATTGCAGTGTCCTGGGTGCCAGAGGGATCCTTGTTACTCCTCCAGCAAAGATAGTGTTTGACGCTAGCCCCATCAGAGAAACTGTGGATTTTGGCCTGTAGACTAGTCATACAATGATTTCCTGCCCTATCCACCCAGAAGCTCACTGTATTGGCATTGCCTGAACAAGGAATATAGGAAAATGTGCAGAGGATTTAGTGTGAACCCAGTGATAGCCATACTGTCTGGCTTATTTGTATCCTCCCTGATTTTAAATAGAGTATATCTAAGAAAATTGAGTGATTAAGGTTGAGGAATGCAAAATAACTATACTTTTTCTGTTGAAGGGGCCTATAAATCTCCCTGGGCGAAAGTGTCTATAAACAACGATACTGTCCAGACAATTATGTACTAAATTTGTTATGAATTACTTCAAATTTTCACAGTTCCACTAATCATTTACTTTAATTACACTGGATTTACTTTTAGTACCAACTGAACAGAACCATGTGGTCCAGGATTGTTACCAGGGTGATGGACAGTGTTACCGAGGTACAGCATCAACCACTGTGACAGGAAGAAAATGTCAATCATGGCTGTCTATGACACCACATCAGCACTCGAGGACCCCAGCCAACTACCCAAAGGGGTATGTATTTGATTTTCTCAACAAGAGAAGTAACAGCTAACTGAAATTACTATTTCCAGAGGTCTGTTTCAAGTTCACTGCTAATAACCAGAATTCACGTGGTCCAGAGTGTGAGGCAGAATGTGCAGGAACATAGACTTTGAGCCAACAATCTGAGAGAGGTCACCTCAGATACTGGCTGTCATGCCTGAGTCGTGTTGTAGAAACACATGATACACATGGATGGAGGTGACCAGGGTACGGGAATGGAAAGGTCAGAAGAACAAATGAACCAACACTTAGGACCCGTCCCAGGCCACGGCCCCCCTACAGAACCATGCGATCTTTGAACCATGCAATTCA